ATGAAGACATGTTAACCTCATTTCACCCTTAGGATTAAAAAACGGGTCATCCTCAAAAATGACAAACGGGGGACAGGCATGGAGATACTAGGGAAGTCCGAAGTTCAGGGAGGAAGGGAAAAGGGCAGACAGGCTCCGAAGGGCCCAGGGGCCATAGGGTGCTGACAGGGAGGCTCCAGGCAGCCAGACATAATTTAGCTGACCATCTGGCTTGGGAAGCCCCCTCGGGGATGAGTGTCTAGGGGCGTGAGTGACACCCGGGCCTCACCTGTCTGTCCCGAGCAGTGGAAGTCAGCCGTTCCGCTAAGCCTGTGCAGGTGCCCTCCCCGTCCTGCCCCCCCCACCTGGCAGGCCCAGAGCACAGGGGACTGAGCCAAGTTCTGCCCAGTTTGCTCCAGGTGCTCGTGGCAGCGTCTGCTGGAACCATGAAGCCCGCATGCTTCTGCATGACCCGCCATGGGAAGGGAAATGAAATCTAATCTCAGCAAGTGAATCCACTGCTAAAAATTCCCAAAGCGTGTCTGATGATAACAACAGAGGAGCTTCCTAGCAGGTTTGGCCTTCCCGGCTCCGCCAGTGCTCCCCAAGGCCAGACTGCGGGCACCCCGGGGGGACTTTGGCCATTTAGGAGGTTGGGGGGAAAGGAACCATGAGAGAGGGAAAAGAGGCAAATTTCAAGAAGCTAAGCTCGGTAACCTTGCTTTTGGAAAGTAGATTTGCGGCGGTCCTTTGTTCCAGATAAGGATGTGAACAGAGGGTGGGAGGGGGAGGCTTGTGTCCCTGGAGTCCCTGAGTTAGCATAAGCCTCACAGGTGTTATTCTGCAGCGGATTCCCCAATCCTGGGTCTGATCCAGCCGGTGGGGAGCCGGGCTTCCTTTCCATATATGTCCATAACATTTATGGTGTAAGTTTCCATAAACCCACAAGTTGGGCTTTTACTTTCAACACGAATGGCAGAGAGCACTAGGGAGCCAACCTGTAATAAACTAACCCAGTGCTGCTTTAAAATAAGACTTAGCTACAAAGCTAACAGTAACTCTCCCTTCATTCTCAATGAGGATCAGTAGGGGGGAAAAAACCCTCTGCTTGTTAAATGCATTTAAAGTGTTGGAACCAATACTTTGATGTGTCCACTATTTTGTTTCAGCCCAGTGCTTTCCAGGCCCTGGTCACAGCACACCCCCAGCCTGCACCCCCGCACCCCCGCACCCCACAGTGGGGTTGCCTCATCCGGGCCATTCCAGAGGAATGAGCCCTGCAGTGCTTTCTGCTTCTCTCTCATTTTTGGCCCCCAACAGTTGGGGGGTGGGGTGGGAGCAAGTACTCTGTTTCTTTCCCTGCCCGTAATGCGACAAAAATCTCTTTCACAAAATGGAAAGACCTTGTGCTCCATCTTGACCTCATTGGTTTTCCCCTTTTCTGATGTTGCTCCTGCATCAGCATTCAGCAAACTTGTTTCTTAAAGAAGTCAGGCCCTTCCTCCATCAGTGCCGCCCACACACAATTTTCCAGTCTTCCTGCTACATCAGAAAGTTTTGGGGTTTTGTTTAACTTATATGCAGGTGTCTTTGGAAGCATAGTATGTCTTGAAGAGAGGGCTCACCCTCCCACCCAGGACATAGATCCTGCGGAACCTGAGTGTATTTCCTGCCCAGAGCCATCCTGAGCTGCCCAATTCAAAAGGAAGCTTCATATTTAAAACCTTCTCACTTCTGCCCTGACACAGTTCAGCTCTGGGCTCTTGTCTGGGCGCAGCTCCTCCCACACCCCGTGCGCTGCCCCGGTTCTGATCGTCTATCCTCTCGCCTCACCCTTTCTGGCTCCTTCTCTTGCTTGTCTCAGGTCGCTCACTCCCCCCGACCCCTTGGTCCACTTTAGTCGCTTACAGTGTGCCTCAGTTCTCAGTATTTCTAAGCTACATCTTTTGTTCATAGAGTTGCCAGATTTGCATAAAAATGCAAGACACCCAGTTTAGTTTGCATCTCAGATAAACAACAGATACATTTGTTTTTAAGTATAAGCATGCTCCATACAATATTGGGGACATATTTATACCAAAAATGTTTATCTATCTGAAATTCAAATTTAATAGGATGTCCTGTCTTTTCTCTGGCAGCTCTATAATTATTTTTCATTCATTCGTCAAAAAAATATTTGTGGAGAACTTACCATGTGGCAGGCATTGTGCTAGGTGCTGGAAAAGCCGGCCAGGTCCCATACCTTACAGAATATATACTTTACACACACATACACTATATACATATACATATATATATGAACCTATAGGAAGAGGGTGGTTTTTGTACTAAACCTAATATTTGTATGTCACTAGTTAGTTTTTTTTTTTAAAGATTTTATTTATTTATTTGACAGAGAGACACAGCGAGAGAGGGAACACAAGCAGGGGGAGTGGGAGAGGGAGAAGCAGGCTT